TGGTCTTGTTTGTTTCTGTTGTAAATGTAGTCTTTCCTTCCATTATTCCAACTGTGGTTTCTATATAAGGAAACTTGATTTCTGTATGTTAATTTTGAAACTACACACCTTACAGCATTCTCATTTATTCTAGTTTTTTTAAGTTAATTCTTGTGAGTTTTCCAAAAATGAAATCTTAACTGCAAATAAGACAATTACATCTCTGCATTCCAATGTTTATATTCTGATTTCTTTTTTCTTTGTTTAATCCAGCTGCAATGGGAAATAATAGTAGTGATGGGTAACGACCTTGTCTAGTTCTTTACTCTGATTGCTTCCAGTGTTTACTTACTAAGCTTATTAGTCTTTCTAATTCCCTATTGTTCTTATTTTAAGACTCTTAAAAATGTTCTGTCTATTGAATCAGTGATTCCTCTTCTTGTCAATTATTCCAAGGAAAATACGATGAAAGCGTTATGCATGCTACTATCTAAAACAGCACTAATTTATTTTTTTAAAAAGACATACTTAGAAAAAAACCTCAGTGAGTCACGCAGAATAGTTAAGGAGACTGTAGTTTAATGGAATATCACAAAGACTAAAAACATGAAAAATGCTAATGTATATTATTTGTAAAAATGCTATATAAAAATACAGATATAGTATTATTATGACACTATCTGAAAAATACTCACAAATTGGTGACAAAAAAAGTTTACTAAGCTAAAGTTTACTAAGTAAGAAAATTTACCAAATTATGGGCTGGATGTGGTGGCACATGCTTGTAATCCCAGCACTTTGGTAGGCCGAGGCAGGGGGATCATCTGAGCTCAGGAGTTCAAGACTAGCCTGGACAACACAGTAAGACCTTGTCTCTATTTTTAAAAAAAATGAAAATTTAGGCTGGGTGCGGTTGCTCACGCCTGTAATTCCAGCACTCTGGGAGGCCGAGGCGAGTGAATCACCTGAGGTTAGGAGTTCAAGACCAGCCTGGCCAACATGATGAAACCCCATCTCTACTAAAAATACAAAAACTTACCTGGGCATGGTGGCGGGCGCCTGTAATCCCAGCTACTCAGGAGGCTGAGGTAGGAGAATCCCTTGAACCTGGGAGGAGGAGGTTGCAGTGAGCTGAGATCGTGCCACTGCACTCTAGCCCGGGCAACAGGAGCAAAAACTCCATGTAAAAAAAAAAGAAAGAAAGAAAGTTTACTATATTAAGAATAATTTTTCTGTTTTCCAGATTTAACATAATGAAGTGATATTATGGTACAGTGGGAGGAGAGATTTTATTTTAAAATAAATTTGCAGTTGGGCATGGTGGTTCACAACTGTAATCTCAGCACTTTTGGAAGCCAAGGTGGGAGGATCACTTGAGGCCCAGGAATTTGAGACCAGCCTGGTCAACACAGCAAGACCCTACAGCTCCAAAAAAATTAAAAAATTAATCTGAGGCTGGGAGCGGTGGCTCACGCCTGTAATCCCAGCACTTTGGAAGGCTAAGGTGGGCAGATCACCTGAGGTCAGGAGTTTGAGACCAGCCTGGCCAACATGGTGAAATCTCGTCTCTACTAAAATACAAACATTAGCCGGGTATGGTAGTGGGTGCCTGTAATCCCAGCTACTCGGGAGGTTGAGTCAGGAGAATTGCTTGAACCTGGGAAGCCGAGGGTGCAGTGAGTTGAGGTTGTGCCACTGCACTCCAGCCTGAGCAACAAAGTGAGACTCCGTCTACCAAAAAAAAAAAAAAATTAATCTGGATCTAGTGGTACACACTTACAGTCCTAGCTACTCAGGAGGCTGAAGCAGGAGGACTGCTTGAGCCCAGGAGATTGAGGTTGCAGTGAGCTATGTGATGACACCACTGCACTCCATCCTGAGTGACAGAGCAAGACCCTGTCTCTAAAAAAACAAAAACAAATTTGTGACCAAATCCAGTGGCTAAACACAGAGTGGGAATTAAGCCCTATGGGCATAGCTCAACATTAGTTTGTACTTAAAGTACACTCCAAAGGGAGGCAGATGAGCCCCCAAAGCAAGAGCAAACCAAGACAACCTCATTGCTGCACCTACTGGCCTCCTAGAGCAGTGCTGTGCAATGGAAATGTAATGTGAGCCATGTATGTGACTTCTGATCTTCTAGTAGATGCATTTAAAGTAAAAAGGAACAGGTAAAATTCATTGTAACCATGTATTTGATCTACCCCAATATAGTCAAAATATTATTTCAGCATGTAATCAACATTAAAAATTATTAATAAGATAGTTTACATTCTCTTTTCCTACAAAGTCTTAGAAATGTGGTGTGGATTTTCCATTTACAGCCCATCTCAGTTCACACTACCATAAGCCACATGTGAATAGTGACTGCCCTGCTGAACTCAGCTCTGACCTGTCGATATCCCTCAAAGACAGGTGTTAGAAAGGCAAGTGTGTGTCCTGTGTCTGTGTGTATGTGTGTCTGTGTGTGTTATGTAGACACAGGCCAAATGAAAGGTACCTGCAATATAACAAGGCTCAAGGAGGAAAAATCATCATCTAAAATAAAAAGTATCTGACAGGCATGGTGGTTCACGCCTGCAATTCTAACACTTCCGGAGGCCAAGACAGATTGGTCACTTGAGCCCAGCAGTTTGAGGCCAGCCTGGGCAACATAGTGAGGGCCCATCTCTACAAAAAATACAAAAATTAGTGGGGCTGTGGTGGCATGCACCTGTAGTCCCAGCTACTTGGGAGGCTGTGGTGGGAGGATCCCTTGAGCCTGGGAGGTCGAGGCTGCAGTGAGCCATGATCATGCCACACCACTCCAGCCTGGGCAACAAAGTGAGAGCTTGTCTCTCAAAACAAACAAACAATAAGATAAAATAAAAAGCATCTGACTTAAGATGATTTATGTGGGTTTCCCATAATCCCTTCCGCACACATACCACCTTTCATGGAGCGAAGTGTTCCAACCTGGACGTGAATATTTTTCTGTCTTGCTGCCTAGAGGTAAAAACCCAGGCTTTGACTACCATGAACCTTTAAGGGCTGCTTTAATTCTGGAGGCCTGTGAGGACCACCCAAAGCTCCTTCTAGAGCTGTGCTAGCCAATAAGGCAGCCATAGCCACATGTGGCTATTTAAATTAAATGTAATTAAAAAATTCAGATCCTCAGCAGCACTGCCCACATTTCAAGGGCTCAACAGCTGCATGTGTCTCACTGTCCTTTGGGGGCAGCTCTAGGGGAATCACTTCCCTATCCTCTGCTGGCCCTGGTGCTCTCACCTAAAGCTGCAGGCCTGGGCTTGGGGCTCTGCTCCTCCTTAGAAGTGGCTGCTGCCTGTTACCTCGCCCAGACTTTCTTTGAGGTGGGTGGGGTGGTGGCATGAAGCCCAAATGCGGTCAAGGGCTTAGTGCTACAATGAAACGCCCATTCTCTCTACTTAAGTGAACACTGTGTCTCAGCACCCACATGTATGAAAACGAAAAATAGGCGTCCAGCTGATGCCAAACACCGGCTCACCCCAGCAATATGTAAAATTCATTCAAATAATATAAATAATTTGAGCTGTAAAACAAAATCCATCGCATTACAAGTTGTGTTGTGCTTCCAAAGCATTTCACTTTTTGTCTAAGACTTAACAGTAAACATTTTGATATATATATATAATTTTGCTAATAATCCAGAAAATAATTAACCCTAAGAGGGAAAAAAGTGTAATCTAATTCGTTACGGAGATACATGCTAGGGTAAACAATAAACAATAAAACTTAATGCATAAAACTATTTTACACTAGTATCTGACAGGCACGGTGTCAGATACACTAGGATAAAATTATACACTAGGATAAAATTCAATGAGGCACATAGAGTGAAAATATTTTTACAGTAGAATAAAAAGCCGGTGAGGAACATAAAAGTTCAAGGAAAAAAACCCTAAAAGATGTAAAACGTATGAGTGTTAAAAGTGGATAATACCAAATCTTCAGGGATTTAGATTCCATTGGATACCCCTGAAAGAATAAAGCAACTTTGTTGTTTTTAATATTAACAGCATGCCAAAAATATACCCTTTGCAATTATTTAAACTTAATATGAAAAATATTTAGATGTTGCTGTTTTTAAAAAAGGCTGACTATAGCCAATAACTTAGTTGTATATTTTAAAATAACTAAGAATATAATTTGATTGCTTGTAACACAAAGGATAAATGAAGTGATGGATACTCCATTAACCCTGATACGGCTATTACGCATTGCATTCCTGTCTGTATCAAGATATCTCACGTACTCCACAAATAGGGACACCTACTATGTACCCACAAAAATTAATTTAAAAAAAAAAAAAAAAAAGGTCTTCAAATTCATTTTAGGCCCTGGGTTTGGAAGCCGACACCGGGGGTGGAGTGGGCAGGGGGCGAGGTCGCTGCCAAGCTGGCGCCCCGGCTGGGAGTGCGGCCCGGTCCTAGGGGCCGCTCCAGGGGCCGCTCCCTCTCCGCATCCCCAGTGCCCAGCCGGGGGCGCTTCTGGTGCTGACGACCAGGAACGGCTGGTGCTCTCGGGCCAGCCTCCAACCAGCTGGGAAGGCAGTGGGTCCCCAGCCCAGCGCTGTCCTGCGCCCCTCCCGGGTTCCCCATTTCCCGCCAGGCCCCCCCTGCCGGGAACGTCTCCGCACCCACCTGGCAACTAGTCACGTGTTCAGGAACACCTGCAGGTGCGTAGGCAGGTATTTACTTTATTACCTGTGCCCCGCCCCCAGCCCCCCCAAGGTAAAAGGCACGGAAACAGGAAGCCCCGCCCACGGTCTCCTGGCCGCGCCCCCAGCGCGCGCCCTGCAGCTGGCACTCAATAAATAGCCGAGGCAGGTCCCCTCCCTCCCGCCGGCGCGGGCGGCCGGACCATCGAGTCAGTCCTCCAGCGTCCCAGAGAGGGCGCGGAAGTGCCCCAGGGCCGGCGCGGGTTCTTCCGGCCGTGCGGTCCGCGCTTTTGTCCCGCCGGCGGCCGGGCTCCCGCGGCGCCGCCACAGCCAGTACGTGAGTCCGCGGCCGCCCGCGCTCCCGCCCCCGGCCCTTGCCTGCCACGCCCTTCCCTTTTTGGCCGGGTCTTGGCCGCCCCGAGGGTCTCGGGCGGGATCTGGGAGTAAGCGTGCCCCCTCCCTGCACAGATCTCAGTAGCGCGTTTCTGGGGAGCGGAGCGGAGGGGAGGGAGGACCTCGGGCAGGCAGACGGGTGCAGGGCGCGCCCCTGGAACAGGCTGGGCTCCTGTGGGCCACAGCTGCCACCTCTGAACGGACCAGCGTCGTGCTAGGTCTGCTCAGTGTTCCGAGAAGGGCCAGGGCCCCGCTCCGGTGTTCCGCAACTCTTCATCCCCGTCTTGGATGGGAGGGGATTCCTAAAAATTAGTGCTTCAAAATACCCACCATTGCGTGCTCCCTCTGAAGTTAGGTTTGGTACTCTAGGACTTGAGAGTGATGGCGAGGGCAGAGAGACCTCTAGGGGTGATCTGATTCGACCTTCTCCCCCCCGACACACACCTTTTTGTTTTGATCCGTGAGTGAGGAGGATAAGCTCCTGCTGCAGGGTGAATGGAGACCCCGGAGGCGCGTCCTGGCCCTCACCTGGGGAAGCGCGCCTGCATCCGGACGGGTGCACCGGGGGGAGGCGACCTGCCGCGGGTTCCTGCCAGCAGAAAAGGAGTTAACTAGGGAGGGAGAGGAAGGTCGAGGAGTTTCTTAGACCCGGGGGCACAGCCTGCGGGAACCCAGGGGGTTGGGGGGAACGGAAAAGATCACTGGGGAATGCCAGGGCTGGGTGTGCTGCTCTAAGACCTTTAAAGTAGTTGGCCAGCAGGAGCATTTCTTTGTGAAAGCCCAAGGCTTAAAAAGTAATAATATGAAATATGTAATACATTCATTTGGCTGGGATATTAAAAATATAAAAAGTTACCAGTGAAAGATTTCCTCCATCCCTCTTAGCTATCTTCCTAGGCCCTACCCTCTTAGGTAATTTGTTCCTTTGTATCTTTTCCAAATTTCTTTCTGCAAGTACTGGCGAATATCACTAGTTAGTGCCCGCTTTTATCACACAGGTGATAGAAATCCTTCTAACCCCTTGATTTTTTCACTTTATCTTACCGGTCTCTACATATCAGAACACAGAAGTTTTGTTCTGTTTTGTTTTACAGAGCTGTGGTAAGTATTGGATGGGCCATTGTTTGGATGTTTTCGGTGTTCTGTCCTTTTTTAGATCTATTCGGGGGCATTTGGGTTGTCTCCAATTTTTCGTTATTTCAAACAATGGTATACTCAATACAGTGTATTAGGGTAAGGATTTTTAAAGAAGAAACCTAACAGCCGTTAGAAAATTCTTTTTTTACATTAACTCAACCAGATATTGGCAGATTGTTACATATGACAAGTCATTATCAAAATCACTGATGTAGAGTGTTTAAAGAACAAATAAGACTTAAGTAGTCCTTCCCTCCTGAGACTTGTCACTGTATTTAGTGTTACACTAGCCTAACAGACTATGTCAGTGACTCCAAGCCAGTCCCTGCCGGGCTTAATTCAGAAAATCAGCCTCCCTTTTAGTATCTCCTCTGCTCACCTGCTCCCTAGAAATCTCTTCTCCACTACTTGGTTTGAGAATGTTCTACTTCAGATTTTTACTTTAAGGAAAAATCACTGTTCATTCTTATTTCTATATTTAAGCAATAGAAGCAACTCACGTTAACCATCTACATTCCTAATATTCATAAGACAAATGCAACAATAGCTAGAACACAAACCATATTCTCTCCTCATCTGCATATATCACTTCTCTATTCCTTAGTCCCATCTTTCCTTTGCACATTTTCCCCCTCCTAGGTACTCTTTCTTCTGGGTTGATAAGCATTTTGTGGTCACTTTCTCTTGTCTTTTTTCCTTTCTTTGGTCATCTCCAAATCAAATACAGTATGCAAGAACTTAAGGTATAGAATCCACGCGTGAACCTTGAGGTGGTAAAATTGTCTTGTGGAATATGGTTGGACTCTGCAAATTCACAGTAGTTCCAGGCTGGTTGCAATCTGCTAATAGGAAGGAATTTTCAGCCGGAGCAGGCCACAGTTCCTGTCTTACAAGTTGTCTAGGCTCTTGAAAAGTGGCTCCTGAGTCTTGGAGGCAGAGACAGCAAGAATTTAGGGCAGGTTCTTACTATTTGCATTCACTTTTCTAGGCCTTGGCGATAGAGCATGAACAAGAAAGAAGCACAGAAGTACCCAGAGGTTGTTGGTTATATATAGCGTGGAAGGAGTGGATGGCATTCTATGTCTGATGTAACCAGGCTATTAGAGTCACGCTATGTGTTGAAAACTGGTTAGAAAGGGCTTGCCCATTCCGCCTTTAGAACTTTTAAGAAATTCAAAAGTTTCTGGGTCTTTCTATGGAAGAATTGTGTTTTGGGGGTAATTCCTTACTTGTGTCATAGGGGACACATGACTTAGCCACTACATCAGTCTTGATTGGATTATAGTGACTTACTCCTGGAACTCCAGGACTCAGTCCTGTCTCGCCTCAATCCATTCTCTCACTGCAACTAGTATGAGTCATCTTTCTTTTCTTTTTTTGAGACAGAGTCTCGCTCTGTCACCTAGGCTGGAATGCAATGGCGCTATCTTGGCTCACTGCAACCTCCGCCTCCCAGGTTCAGGCGATTCTTGTGCCTCACCCTCCCAAGTCAAGTAGCTGGAACTACAGGTGTGCACCACCACACTTGGCTAATTTTTGTGTTTTTAGTAGAGACAAGGATTCGCCTCCTTGGCCAGGCTGGTCTTGAATTCCTAGCCTCAAGTGATCTGTCTGCCTCAGCCTCCCAAAGTGCTGAGATTACAGGCGTGTGCCACTGCACCTTGCCTGATCTTTCTTTTTAAAATTTTTTTCTTCTCTTTTTTTTTTTTTTTTTTTTGAGACAGACATTCAGGCGCCCGCCACCACACCCAGCTAATTTTCTTTGTTTTTTGTTTGTTTGTTTTAGTAGAGACGGGGTTTGACCATGTTGGCCAGGCTGGTTTCAAACTCCTGACCTCAGGTGACCCGCCTGCCTCGGCCTCCAAAAGTGCTGGGATTACAGGCATGAGCCACTGTGCCCGGCCTAAAGTTTTTTCTTACGAACTTCCATATACCCATCCCTTAGATTCAGCAGTTATCAGGATTCTGCTGTTTAACTTTTCCCTTTTTAGTTTTTCTTGATTGAAATATTTTAAAGCAAATTCCAGATACCATGCCATTTCACTCCAGACTTCAATCTGATTTAAAAAAAAAAAAAAAACTCTGGGTACAGTGGCTCACGCCTGTAATCCCAGCACTTTGGGAGGCTGAGGTGGGCGGATTACGAGGTCAGGAGATCGAGACCATCCTGGCTAACGCAGTGAAACCCTGTCTCTACTAAAAATACAAAAAATTAGCCAGGTGTGGTGGTGGCGCCTGTAGTCCCAGCTAATCAGGAGGCTGAGGCAGAAGAATGGTGTGAACCCAGGAGGCGGAGCTTGCAGTGAGCCACTGCACTCCAGCCTGGGTGACAGAGCAAGACTCCGCCTCAAAAAAAGAAAATAATAATAAATAATTTTTAAAAAGGGTCTGGGTGCAGTGGCTCACGCCTGCAATCCCAGCACTTTGGAAGGCTGAGGTGGGCAGATCACAAAGTCAGGAGATTGAGACCATTCTGGCTAATGCAGTGAAACCCCATCTCTACTAAAAATACAAAAAACTAGACGGGCGTGGTGGCGGGCGCCTGTAGTCCCAGCTACTTGGGAGGCTGAGGCAGGAGAATGGTGTGAACCTGGGAGGCGGAGCTTGCAGTGAGCCGAGATCATGCCACTGCACTCCAGCCTGGGCAACAGAGTGAGACTCTGTCATTTTTATCACATGGTGGTTTTCCTACCAGACTCTCCTACTAGTCTGCAGGCGCCTTGATGGCAGGGCCTTGTCATATCCATCTCTTTGGATAGGAATAGCCCAGGGCCCAGAAAACAAACAGGATACAGATAATAGTCTAAGTTCCTTGCGCAACAATTAGCCTCAGAAAGAACTGATACACTAGAATGCATCTTCAGTATTGTTTATAAGGATAACTTAATTATCCTTATATGTTACATTCTTTGCATTGTCTTTATGTTTTAGCAGCATGTACTCTAGCGCTGTCTTGTTGCTTTTCTGCCTGTTTTTGATGGATCTTAGTATTGATTAATATAGATTTCATTTCAAGCCATATATTTTCAGTGAAGATTCATGTTTATATTAATCCATCTTGATTTCACTCAAGAAGAGAATTGGATGAATTACATCAGGTGATGGGACATTGTGCCTCCAACCCAAACAGAGGGGTTTAAGCAGAGCCAGAACAGGGAGGCCCCTGGCCTACACCTAGGTTAGAGAGGTAAGTGGCAATGTGTCTGTGATTTTAGGCAGACCAGGCCAGTCAGCAGCCAGTCTAACATGGAATCCCAGAGGACAGGAAGAAAACTGATAATCCACTTGTGGAAGAAACAAAGGAGGAAAGATCAGACTGAGAATCAGTGAGTGGAGTGGCAGTGAGGGGTGACAGTTGCACAGGCAGCTGGTGCAGAAGGCTTTAGGTGCCACAGTAAGTAGCCAGGGAGAACTTGGCACTGCCCAGTGACTAGGTGTGCATTTTACAAAAACTCTTGACAGTGGTTGGAGAAAGAATTGGGCAGGGATAAGAGTGAAGGTCGAGAAACGATGGCAGTAGTCCGGAAGAGAATTTAGAAGGCTTAAACTAAGGCCTTAGCGGTAAGAAGCAGGTGGGGGATGGGGTGGGAGCTTCGGAACTACTTAGGCAATAGAATCAGCGGTCCCCGGGGCTGTTTTGGATGTGGCCACGGGAAATAGCCCACTTCTGATGTAGGCAGAGGGTGGGGGGCGAGGTGTATATGAGGGTCTGTAATTGAGAGGGATCTTGGGCAGAGATGAGGACCTGAGACGGTGTGTGGGATGCTGGGAGCCACGAGGGCTCCCAGGGGAGTATGGGGAGCCAGAAGAGGAAAGGCTCAAGGTGGAAGGAGGGGCCGGAAACATTCAGGGGGCAGCAGCCCGGAGGGCAAGCACCACCCTGAAGTAGCTAATGCAGTGGGGTCTGAGTGGAAGAAATGAGGCATGAGGGGAGTGGGAATGGGATGTGAAGACCACTTTTCCAGATGTAACAGGCAGTAGGATGGCAAAGCAGTACCTGGAGGGGAAGGTGTAGAAGAGGAAACAAATTTGCTTTCTGACATTTTGAAAACTTTTTGTTTGGTAATAATTTTAAATGCACAGAAAAAATTCAAGAATACGAACAGTAGAAAGATACCCATTACTCAGATTTACCTGCAGTTAACATTTGACTTCATTTTGTCCTCTTGCTCTCTCTTTCATACATGCAAGTATTTTTCTAAACCATTTGTAGGTAAGTTGTTTACATCGTGGCCCTTTATCCCTAAATACTTCAGTGTATTTCCCAAGGATTGGGATAGTCTCATAGATAACTACAGTACAGTTTTCAAATTGAGTCAATTTGAAGTTGATATTGCTTTTACCTAGTCTACCATCCATATTCCACTTTTGTCAGCTGATATAATTGTTTCTATCACAATTTTCCCTCCACTGCAGATCCAGTCAAGGTCAGGAATTTAATCTAGTGGTCAGATCTCTTTAGCCTTCTTTAATCTGGAACGTTTCTACAGCTCTTCATCTTTTATGAAAATGATGTATTTGAAAAGTATAGTGCCCCCTCTTCTCTCCACCCTCTGTTTTAGTAGAAAACATTTTTCATTTTGGGTTTACCTGCTGATTCAGTTCAGGTAATGCATTCTCATTGGTGATGTGTCCTTCTCCCTACTAAAAGCATATTATGTCCATCTGCCCCACTGGAGGTGTTAAATTAGAACACCTGGCCAAGGCATTGTCTCTCCACTCTTGCATTTTTCCCCCTTGTAAATAACTTAAGCATTATAAATGTTTAAGACCATGCAGATATCCTGCTCCTTGTCAGAATTTCCTCTTAGACGTAGAATTCTTTGACGATTCTCTCCTGATCCAGTCTTTACTCTGATAGTTGCAGAATGCTGCTTTTTCCAATTCTGGTATTCCTTCTACGTTTATCAACCAGCACTCACATTCTGCTGTAAGCAAGAGGCCTCCCTTTCTATCCTGTTTGAACCTGTATAGACTCATGAAAGCCTATCTTCAGTGGTTCATAATGTATCACTATACTTAGTTATTATGGTGCCTAAAGTTATATGGTGCTTGAACACTGGATGTGCAAGCTGGGTCTTGCAGCATGTCCCTACCCTGTTTTTGAGCCTCTCTTTACTTGCTGGTGTAACATGATGCTCTTCTTGTATGTTTCCTGCTCTCAGCCTGAAATCAACCATTTCTTTGAGAAGCTGTGGTTCCTTTTAGTAAGTAATGGTAATAGAGACCCAGAATGCGGGTACTAGATGTGCTCATTACCACGGGAGTGTTTTTGTTTTTTGGGCTTTCAGCAAACAGAACTAGGAAATACATGCAGATATATGCATACAGCTATACGGACTTAAATATATATGCGTGCACATATATGTGATTTAGAAATCACCAGCACTTCGAATTCATCCCAAGATTCATTTTTGCCTTCCTCTATTTCTTATTTTTATGTCCCTTTCTTTAGGAGAGCCCTGAGCCCAACAAAATCAACACATTTACTCAAGTTCCTAATACATCTAAAGTTGTTTCAGAATTGCTGTTCATAGCTCTGCGGAAAACCTGCTGACAGTTGAATTGTTTGTGTGTCTTGCCACTGCCACCGCCCCGCCTCCAGCTTTCCCCAGACTGAATGGACTTACGTAGTCAAATAGTTTCTAAGTTGCCTGGATTAGTTCTGTGTTTCTTTTTTGTTTGTTCTCTTCCTGCGATTGTGGTATTCATGTGAAATGCAAGTAGGTTGATTTGTTTTCTGTTTTAGCAGTTTTTCCCCTTTCCCATCCTTTTGACGTTTAATTTTATTCTTTGAATATGTAGAATATTATCATGTATTTTATTAGTAAAAACTATTAAAAACGCTGTATACTCAGTCTCTCTCTTTCCCCCATTCCTTCTGCTCCATTCTCCACACTCCTCCCTTGTAGGCAATGAACCTCATTGTTTTCTGGTTTATCATTGCTTTAAAGAGAAACACATACGTGCTCGTTTTCCTGTTTTCTTTCCTACACAAAACGTAGCATGTATATTAGTCTTTTTCACTTTGACCTTTTGACTTTAGGATATACAAATTGCTCCATATCAATTCAGAAATGCTCTTCATCCTTTTTTAGTACTCCATTGTGCATATGTGCCAGTTTATTTAACCAGTCTTCTGTGCTTGGAGATTTACGTAGGTTTCCAGATTTTGCAGTTACAAATAATGCTATAATGAATCATCACTCTGTGCACGTACGTTTTTTATATTTTTTGGAGGGTTATCCTCCTTATAAATTCATAAAGTAGGATTTCTGGGTAAATGCATATATGGTTTTGTTAGATATTGGCAAATTCCCCTTAAAATGGCTGTGCCGGTTTGCATTCCCAGCAGCGTATGAGAGTGCCTGTTTCCTCCACAGCCTTGTCAACAGTGTATTGTCAAGCTTTGAACATTTGCTAATATGACAGGTGAGAAGTGGTGTTTTACAGTAGTTCTTACTTGCCTTTCTCTTATTATGAATCAAGTTGAATGTTTAAGGACCATTTAAAAGAATTGTCTGTTTATCTTTTTGCCTGTTTACCTGCATGATTTTTAGTTTATTTTTCTTCAATTTTTGAAAACATATCAGTCTTTTGTTGCATATGAGTCATTGTTAGAAAACTTTCTCTATACTCAAGTCGTGGAGGCATTTACCCATGTTTTCCAGCATTTGTACAGCTTTTTATATTTAGAGCTCTGTTCCATATGGAGTTTGTTTGTGTGTGTGTGGTGTGAAGAATGGGATCTAATTATATCTTTTTCTTTTCCTTTTTTTTTTTATTTATTTATTTTTTTTTTGAGATGGAGTCTCCCTCTGTCACCAGGCTGGAGTGCAGTGGAACGATCTTGGCTCACTGCAACCTCTGCCTCCCGGGTTCAAGTGCTTCTCCTGGCTCAGCCTCCCGAGTAGCTGGGATTACAGGTGCACGCCACCACGCCTGGCTAATTTTTGTATTTTTACTAGAGACAAGGCTTCACCATGTTGGCCAGGGTGGTCTCAATCGCTTCACCTCGTGATCCGCCCGCCTCAGCTTCCCAGAGTGGTGGGATTACAGGTGTGAGCCACCGCGCCCGGCCCTGATTTTGGTGGGATCACAGGTGTGAGCCACTGCACCTGGCCCTGATTTTGGTGGGATCACAGGTGTGAGCCACCACACCCGGCCCTGATTTTATCTTTTCCCATATGGCTTCATAGTTGTTACAACACTATTAAAAGGACCATCTTTTCTCTGGTAATTGCAGATATCATCTTTATTATTAATTCCTGTGTCTACCTGGGACAATGTCTGGACTTCCTGTTCTATTCCCTCTGCCTGTCTATGTACCAGGACCACACTATTTTAATTATAGAGGTTTAATGATATATTTTAATATGTAATATGCAGGTTGCCTTCTTTCTCATCTCTGCAGTAACTGTCTTCATGGTTTCATAGCCTTCTCCCTGATACCCCTCCCCAGGTACTGATTTTTTCTCTTTAGTGTTGTCTGTCCTCTGCTGATTTTGTCTCACTTTTCATAATTTAAAAAAAAGTTTCACCTAACTTTTGTCTTACTTAGGAATTTTTCTGCTTCTATTCCTCAGAGATTTCTTCTGCCCTCTTGTTTGTTTTTCCATGACTGGATGACATTGTTTAAAAACTGATTGCTGTTGCCCATGGTTCTGTGAATCATTTCACCTTGCCCAATGCTAAGCTGTTATGCAAGAATAGAAAAGCTCATTGTTCCATTGAAAATCCAGGGCTCTAGCATTTTAACATTAGTTCCACAGGGGCAGAAATTTTGTCATATTCATTGTTGTATCCCTAGTACTTAAAAAACAGTACATGGTACTTATCACACGGTGTGTTGTCAGTAAGTGTTTGTCAGTTGAGCGAGCAAACTTTGTTGTTTGTTGTTATTCCAGTTTGTTTGTTTTTAAAGAGAGTGAACAGGTGTCCTTTTCATTTTCTTGGTTTAGTGTCACATTTGAAGACGAGCACTGAGGATGAGGAACCAACTGAAGAATATGCAAATACTGGAAATACAGAATCTAAGTGGCCGAAAGGGGAAGGTCTTCACAGGGATCCTGTGCCTGAGTCTAAGGTTGGTGGCACGTGTGTTTGGGATAGCAAGGTAGAGAGTCAGCAGGAAAAGCCTGTGGAAAACAGGATGAAGGAAGACAAAAGCTGCATCAGGGAAGCAATCAGCACAGCCAAGAGTACAGCAAATATAAAGACAGAACAGGAAGGTGAAGCATCTGAGAAGAGCTTGTGTCTGAGCCCACAGCATATCACACACCAGACTATGCCTGTAGGACAGAGAGGCAGTGAGCAAGGCAAATGTGTGGAGAACATTAATGGAACCTCTCACCCTAGTCTACAGCAGAAAACCAATGCTGTTAAGAAATTACATAAATGTGACGAATGTGGGAAATCCTTCAAATATAATTCCCGCCTCGTTCAACATAAAATTATGCACACTGGGGAGAAGCGCTATGAATGTGACGACTGTGGAGGGACCTTCCGAAGCAGCTCCAGCCTTCGGGTCCACAAGCGGATCCACACGGGGGAGAAGCCGTACACGTGTGAGGAATGTGGGAAAGCCTATATGTCCTACTCCAGCCTCATAAACCACAAAAGCACCCATTCTGGGGAGAAGAACTGCAAATGCGATGAATGTGGAAAATCCTTCAATTATAGCTCTGTTCTGGACCAGCATAAAAGGATCCACACTGGGGAGAAGCCCTATGAATGCGGTGAGTGTGGAAAGGCCTTCAGGAACAGCTCTGGGCTCCGAGTCCACAAAAGGATCCACACGGGGGAGAAGCCCTATGAATGTGACATCTGTGGGAAAACCTTCAGTAACAGCTCTGGCCTTAGGGTCCACAAAAGGATCCACACGGGCGAGAAACCTTATGAATGTGATGAGTGTGGGAAGGCCTTCATTACTTGTAGAACACTTCTCAACCATAAAAGCATCCACTTTGGAGATAAACCCTATAAATGTGATGAGTGTGAGAAATCTTTTAATTATAGCTCTCTTCTCATTCAGCATAAAGTCATCCACACTGGAGAGAAACCTTATGAATGTGATGAATGTGGGAAGGCTTTCAGGAACAGCTCAGGCCTCATAGTGCATAAAAGGATCCACACGGGAGAGAAACCTTACAAGTGTGATGTCTGTGGCAAAGCATTCAGCTATAGCTCAGGCCTCGCAGTCCATAAAAGCATTCACCCTGGAAAGAAAGCCCATGAGTGTAAGGAGTGTGGGAAGTCCTTCAGTTATAACTCACTTCTTCTTCAGCACAGAACGATTCACACCGGAGAGAGACCTTATGTGTGTGATGTGTGTGGGAAAACGTTCAGAAACAATGCAGGCCTCAAAGTCCACAGGAGGCTGCACACTGGGGAGAAACCCTATAAGTGTGATGTGTGTGGGAAAGCCTATATCTCACGGTCCAGCCTTAAAAATCACAAAGGAATCCACCTTGGGGAGAAGCCCTATAAATGTAGCTATTGTGAGAAATCCTTCAACTACAGCTCTGCCCTTGAGCAGCATAAAAGGATTCATACCAGGGAAAAACCCTTTGGGTGTGATGAGTGTGGAAAAGCTTTCAGAAATAATTCCGGCCTTAAAGTACATAAACGAATCCACACTGGGGAACGACCTTACAAATGTGAAGAATGCGGGAAAGCGTACATCTCCCTCTCGAGCCTTATAAATCATAAAAGCGTCCACCCCGGGGAGAAGCCCTTTAAGTGTGATGAGTGTGAGAAGGCCTTCATCACATACCGAACCCTTATAAACCACAAAAAAGTTCATCTTGGGGAGAAGCCCTACAAATGTGATGTGTGTGAGAAATCTTTTAATTACACATCACTCCTTTCTCAGCACAAAAGGGTCCACACTAGAGAGAAACCCTATGAGTGTGACAGGTGCGAGAAGGTCTTCAGAAACAACTCAAGCCTTAAAGTTCATAAGAGAATCCATACTGGGGAGAAGCCCTATGAATGTGACGTGTGTGGAAAAGCCTACATCTCACACTCAAGCCTTATTAACCATAAAAGTACCCACCCCGGCAAGACACCGCATCCATGCGATGAGTGTGGAAAAGCTTTTTTCTCAAGCAGAACTCTGATAAGCCATAAAAGAGTCCATCTTGGAGAGAAACCCTTCAAGTGTGTCGAGTGTGGGAAATCTTTCAGTTACAGCTCTCTCCTTTCTCAGCACAAGAGGGTCCACACAGGGGAGAAACCCTATGTGTGTGATAGATGTGGGAAGGCCTTCAGGAACAGCTCAGGTCTCACAGTGCATAAAAGGATCCACACAGGTGAGAAGCCCTATGAATGTGATGAGTGTGGGAAGGCTTACATCTCACACTCAAGTCTTATCAACCATAAGAGTGTCCACCAGGGGAAGCAGCCCTATAATTGTGAGTGTGGGAAATCCTTCAATTATAGATCAGTCCTTGACCAGCACAAAAGGATCCACACTGGAAGGAAGCCATACCGATGTAATGAGTGCGGTAAGGCTTTCAATATCCGATCAAATCTCACCAAGCATAAAAGAACCCATACTGGAGAGGAGTCTTTAAGTGTGATATATGTGGGAAGTTGTAGTGGCACATCCCAGAAGAGAACCTATGAGGGAGGGAATGCCCTGGATGGGAGCAGGATGAGGCTGCCTCTGTAGTAGGCAGAGCTTACCAAGTCTCTGAACTCAAATGGAAGAAATACCTTATGAATATAAGAATGTATGGGGTCATGACTTGTAATTTACACAGTATAAATGAAACCATCCTAGAGGATTGGGAGGAATCCTTTCTATGATTTTCAATCATAGCAAGCAAGAAAGGCTCCAGTATCAAAGCAGTTCAGCTCTTATGGGATATAAAATATTCCATACTTGAGATAAAAACCTACCCAAGTGATGGAATGTGAAGCAATGTCTTCAAAATTAGTAGACATTTCTGGACATAAAACACAGATGAGGAAGGGACTTCAGTTAGAAGTTACATAGTCACCATCAGAAAGTTCATGTTTGGTAAATTCTGTTACTAGAAATGTAGGAAATTCAGGTATAGCTTTGAATCCCAATTACACATTGGTCAGTGGGAAAACTGAGAAAGGCCTCCAACAGGCAAATTCAGGGAGAGGTAGGTTTCAGGGAATATAAATTTACTTAATATTAGTGGTCTTTAAGTATAAACTTGATGTAATTGGTTTGGGAGGGGGCAGTGATGATGACTTCTGAAACAAAATTTGGATTTCCTTTTAGGAAAAGTAGAAAACATAGACTTACAAGTCTAACAGGAGATAGGAGAGAGTCACTCATAAAAAATGCAAATTGATGAACGTACTATTGTGATACATTAGTTGAATAGATGAAACTTTTTTAAAGTTTCAGATGAACTCCCATAATGATGAATTTGTGATGAGGGATAACCTGGAAGTGGTATTCACACATTATGCTACAATAAAAGGTTCTACCGTGGAGAGGATTTTGACACATTCAGTAACTAATGGAACACACCGTCAACATGAATTTGCACCTTACATGACAGAGTTGATTCAGGGATTCCTATCAATAGAAATGCTGAGAAGGAACGCATCTTAGTGCAGAAGCTAAAAAGCTAAGTACCAGTCATCTAGAGAGAAGGAAATTGTTTCTTAATCCTGTTAAGTGTTTGATTGTTTGGAATATGTTATTGTAAAGATGTCATGCAGTATATGTGTATATTGTCTGTTGTAAAATGTTAACGAATACTTTGTTCAGGGCTCACTTTCTCTTTGTCATGAAAGCCAGCTCCTTGTGGCTAGGTAAAGTGGAATTCCAATAAAGAAATTCCTTAAATCAAAACGGGCTGTGAGTTTAGATGCAGGATACCCAAGAGCCATTTATGTGTCAGATCTTTGTGGGGTAAGTTATATACCAGATCCAAACCAGAGAGGGCAGTGGACTCATCCCACAGGGCTAGCAGCTCAGCTGGTTTCACCAGAAGTTAGAAGGTGCCTCCCTAAGAGGAGCACAGGATAGATTTTGAGGGGACCACAGTGGAGCCATGTGATCCTCATACTGGGCTAGATCCTAACTCATGGGAGCAGGTAGGTTGTGTGAGTGGTCAGTCACCACACACAGCTCTGACAGGACCGTGTAGAATTGAACATAAAATGCTGCTGTGTATGAAGCTGTTAACTAGGTAACTCAAGGGTAAAAATAGACTCTTCTGAGAATTGAGTAACCTGTCTGAGAATACTGTGAGTGGGCCAATCAGTAAAGGCTGAATTCTAAGTCTGGTCTCTGGTTTCAGAACCCGCTGTCTTTACAAGACAACAGTCTCAGCCATGTAGTTTCCCGTCTCCCTCTAGGACTCCTCTCTCTCTAGCCAGATAATTTCCATGCTCTCTTCTAGGAGTATAATTCTTTCACTTTGTATCCAAACCTCTACCAGTAAGTTTTGATGGCTGCAGTGGGGAAGGGTGGAGTTGAGGGAGGAAAGGGAGATGGAGCATTTCTGCCATTGCTCCACTTTGGACTGTTTTGGTCATACTTGCTCTCTATCCTTCTTTGCACATGACACTGGGAAGCCTGACCCTATACACAGACTTGGACTGGTTTATTCAGCAAATACTTGAGGATTTACTAGGCACCGTCCCTGTCCCACGTACTGGGTGGGAGAGGATGGCAGCAGGAGTAGATGCTGGCAGATAAGGATGAATGAAAGGAGAAAGGCTGTGAGCGGAACCACCGTAATGGATGTCTGAATTAAGACTGCACGTGATCAGAGGACGGTGACTAGAACCAGCCAAGAGGGAGGAAGTGGTGACATCTAGGCAGGACGTTGAATTGGGTTTTCTGAGAGAGGAGTAGGAACTGGGATGACCTGAGTAAAGGCGGCTATGGAAGTGCCCAGGCAGCCTCCCGCAAGGCTGGTCTCCGGCAGGGCTGGTGTCTGGGCAGGAAGGAGGGTGCTGTGGAGTACTTGTTCCCAGTAGTCGTGGGGACATGGATTGGGCTTCCTTTTGCTGAAGATGAGACCAGCGCTGGCTCTTTTTAACCTGAGGTTTCCATGTGCTCCTCACACAGGAGAGCTCCCGTACTTGAGCTCCAGCTGAACCTAATGCACTGTCTACTTTTGGGGAAGATGCAGGCTAAATAACAAAGGAGAGGATGGCCACAGCTCAGGTGGGGATTCTGAGTGTCTCAGCCCCCCAAGCACCAGACAAGCTCCTACTGCGGCCCCCATCTACTCACATGCTCCGGAAATGGGCCCAGGTCCTCAAGTGTACCTACAGCCAGATACAAGCCATGCAGGCTGCTCCCAGACATGAGGGGTCTCCGTTGTAGCACAGACCTAATGAACTGGTGCAGCTGTGCCTGCTCAGACCAGGGACGGAATGTGGTTTAGGGACCACCCCCAATTCCTTCCAGAGAATGATATGCAAGTGGGAAAAATAAAGGGGGAGGGAAAAGTGGGGAGGAGAAAGAGAAAGGAAAAGCCTGAAAAGAAACAGTGAGTATGGAATAGCCTTCCATAGGAGCGCACATCTTTCTTAGCAAATTTGTCTGAAGGTGAAAGCCTGGAAAATAATTTCATGTTTCATGTATGGAGACACTGGGTGTGAAACGATACTGAACACCAGTCCTGCAATGCAGGGGAATTTTCCTTCATGGGATTCAAAAACGAGAAGATCACCACTAGGACAACACCTGAAGATATGTTAGCTGAAGACAGACACTGGGGACCTGAAGTCTGTCTGCATCAAGACCTTGAGGAATTGGCCACAGCTGTACCCAGGAGTCCCTAGGCTGGGAAGACCATTCCTCTTCTCCAACTTCAGCTAAGGGCCTTGACCTAGAGACATGGAGAAGGAAGCAGAATATAGTACTTCAATTTTCTTCCTACTGAGGAGCCGTTCTCATTTAGACCTGGCAGTTTTTCTGAGGCTATGGATAGTGTCATTGTGCTAAGGAAACTGCAGGAAACTTGTGTAGAGGCAGTGAAGTATAGTGACCGAGGACATGGTCTCTCTACCAGTAAATCTGAGTTCAAATAAGGACGCTCACTTTTTTCCAGATGAATTTAGGCAAGAAACTAAACTAGAATGTCCTCACCGGCCTTTTTTTTTTTTTTTTTTTTTTAAAAAAAAAAAAAGACAGTCGCTCTGTCGCCCAGGCTGGACTGCAGCGGCATGATCTCAGTTCACTGCAACCTCCACCTCCTGAGCTCAAGCAATTCTCATGCCTCAGCCTCCAGAGTAGCTGGGATTATAGGCATGCACCACCATGCCAGGCTAACTTTGGTATTTTTGGTAGAGACGGGTTCATCATTGTTGGCTGGGCTGGTCTCGAACTCCTGCCCTCAAGTAATCTGTCCAGCCTCAGACTCCCAAGGTGCTGAGATTACAGGCCTAAGCCGCCACAGGCTACCATGCCAGGCCCTCACCTGTCTTTTGTAAAGATGATAATAGTAGCAACCTCATAGGTTGTAATGAGGATTGGAAGCATTAAGTGTTCAGGTCCTTAGAAGGCTGCCTAGAATGAGAAGTATTTGCATAAGAATGTATGGAGTGAGTATGATGAGTAAGTGTAGTGGCCCTGTCCAGGGACTCAGCATCTAGATGCTTGGGTAATGGAGGACAACTCTTACCTGGAAGTCGAGGAAATCCCTCAAGGACCACCCCCTACTCAGACACAACTTCAGAAGAAACATGAGAAAAGTGATTTTTTGAACGCACCTGAGAGGTATCTTGCTTCTAAGTAAGCAATCCATTGTCTAAACAAACATGTTTTGTCTTTGTCGGGCTGCAAAAGGGCTCAGTAGAGGAGCCTCCGGCTGAGGCCAGTAACCACACGTGTTGGGGGTCAAGGGCTGCCTCACGCTTGCTTCTCTGGCCTGGGCAGCTTGCTCACTCACGTGGTATATTTTGTTTCCCCTGTGTTTTCCCAGCAATACTCAGATGTGCTGGAGATGACTGTAGGAAGGGTTGGTGAGAGCCAGACTTCTACTGTCTTAACCATGGCTATTTCTGGTTAGTGTCCCTTAAGAGCTCAGAGGATAAGTAGTGGTCCTGAGGTGGGCAGGGCAAAGCCCCAGAGAGGAGCAGGCGAAGTTCCTCTGGTCTTGGGTGCAGACCATAGGGCCATGTTCCATTCAATGCAATAATACGAATTTATTTCCTGTTCTGTCATTTTCTCATCTGTAAAATGAGGGAAAAGACCTGTTTACAAGATTATTTTAAGGCTTAATAAAAATGCTCTGTATTTTATAAAAATTTTGTACAAACGTTGTTAAATTGACTATCTTTTTAAAAGTTGAAAGAGATAAGAATGAGGGCAAAAGTTGATGAAACAGCAAACAATACAATAAAGAAGACCAACAAAGTCAAGGTTGGTACTTTGAAAAGACTGAAAATTGGTAAACCTCTGATGTGATTGAAAAAGAAAAGCACAAATAATCAAAGTTAGGAATGAAAATTGGGAAATCACAACAGATTCCATGGGTTATTTAGAAGAGTATTTTTTAACTTCAAAACATGGGAATTTCCTAGTTATATTTTTGTTATTGTGGTTACAAAACATACTCCATCTGACTGCTCTCCTTTGAAATGTGTTGAGATTTGCTTTATGGCCCAGCACATGTTTAACCTTAGCGAAGGTTTGTGGGCACTTGAAAAGAGTGCATGTTCTGCAGATGCTGCATGCAGTCGTCTACATAAAGCCATTACATTGTTTGTAATACGTTGTTCAGATCTTCTCTGCTCTTAATGAAGTTTTATTTGCTTGTTCTATTAATGAGACAATTGTTGAGTTATCCCTACTTAGATATAGTTCTGTGAATTTTGCTTTATATATTTGAGGCCACACAAATACAAAATTGTTACATGAATTGAAATTTTATGAAGTAAACCTTGTATCTCTAGTAATGCCTTTTACTAAAAGTCTCCTTTTTTTCTGGTATTAATAACATCAGCTTCCTTTTTGGTTACTGCTATGTGGCATTTCTCTTTCCTTCCTTTTACTTTCAACCTTTCTGTATTTTTATGTTTTAGATGTACCTCTTGGAAATAGCATATAGTTGTTGTTTTAATCCAGTCTGATAACTAGTTTAACAGGATCATTTAGCATTTTAATGTATAGTTACTGAAGGATTTGGGTTTAAATCTTATTCACTGCTTTCCATTTACTCCACCTAACCTAAATTGTGTTATCTCTTCTATTGCCTTCATTTGGATTGGATTAGAATGATTCTATTCATACTCTATATTTCCATCTTTTGGTTTGGAAGTTACATACTTTTTCTCTTAGTGGCCTAGGAATTAACAGGTGGATTCTTATCAAAACCCAATGTTAATTGATACTTTTATCTTCATCCTAGACAATGCAAGGTTCTTAGAATACTTCAACTTAATTTACCTTCCATCCTATATGCTGTTGTTTTGGTTAATTTTAATTATAGATAAATAGATAGATATTAAAATGTTATGATTGTTTTCTATACCAAATGTTTATTTTAGATTTATCTACATTTTTACTATTTTAATTACTTTTCATTTTCTTTTTTTTTTTGGAGAGAGAGTCTTGCTTTGTCACTCAGGCTAGAGTGCAGTGGCAAAATCTCGGACATTGCTCACTGCAGTGTTCACCTCCCAGATTCAAGCAATTCTCCTGCCTCAGCCTCGCTAGTAGTTGGGACTGTAGGCACACACCAGTACACCCGGCGAATTGTTGTATTTTTAGTAGAGACGGGGTTTCACTGTGTTGGCCAGGCTGATCTCAAACTCCTGACCTCAGGTGATCCACCCACCTTGGCCTCCCAAAGTGCTGGGATTACAGGCATGAGCCACCCTGCCCAACTTTTTTATTTCCTTTCATTCTTCTCCACCTCTGCAATTTTTTATTTGGGGACATTTTCCTTCTCTCTAAAAAACTTTGTTTAGAATACTCTGTCCTGGTAGAGGTAAAACTTGACAATTTTTATTTGCCTAAAAATAGCTTCATTCTTAAAAGAGATTTTTTGTAGGAATGGAATTCTAGGTTAGACCTCGTGTTCTTTTGTTGCATTGGATGCTTAAGCCAGTGAACTGTGATTTCCACTCTGGCTGTTCATTTGCCAGTTTAATGTATTCTTTTTAAAATAGCTTCTTTTAAGATTTTTTTAATCTTTGGTTTATTCCAGTTTCACTGTGTTTTATTTTGGTGTGGATTTTTTAAAGGTAATCCTTTTTTTTTTTTTTTTTTTTTTTTTTTTTGTATTCTCTGGGCTTTTAAATTTGTGTATTTGTCTTTCATGAGTTTTGGTAAATTCTCAGCCATTGCGTGCTCAGATATTAGCTCTGTACTATTCTTTTTTTCATTTTTTTCTAGGACTCCAAATAAAGCCGCCTCACTGTGTCTCCTGTGCCTCTTAAGTGCTCATTTCCATCCTTTTGTCCCCTACTCCTTTACCCAGGCTTCATTCTGGATCTAATTTACCTTCCAGTTCACTAAGTTTCTCTTTAGCTATGTAATCTGGCTTGAATATACCCACTGAGTGCTCAATTTAAGTTTTTCTGTTTCTCAGTCATAGACTTTTCATTTGCTTCCTTTTTTCTGGAGATGGAGTATTGCTGTGTCACCCAGGTTGGAGTACAGTGGTGAAATCTTGGCTCACAGCAACCTCTGCCTCCTAGGTTAAAGCAGTTCTCATGCCTCCCATGTTGCTGGGATTACAGGTGTGCACCACCACGCCTGGCTAGTTTTTGTATTTTTAGTAGATAGGGGTTGTGCCATGTTGGCCAGGCTGGTCTCGAGCAGCTGACCTCAAGTGATCTGCTCACCCCAGCTTCCCAAAGCTCTAGATTACAGGCATGAGCCACGGCACTGGACCTTCTTCCTTTTTCATAGTATGCCAGATTCTCAAATGTAACTTTATTTTCCTTGAACATAGTAACATTGTTAGTTTAAAAGCTGTGTCTAGGCCGGGCGCAGTGGCTCAAGCCTATAATCCCAGCACTTTGGGAGGCCAAGACGGGCGGATCACGAGGTCAGGAGATCGAGACCATCCTGGCTAACATGGGTGAAACCCCGTCTCTACTAAAAAATACAAAAAACTAGCTGGGCGAGGTGGCGGGCGCCTGTAGTCCCAGCTACACGGGAGGCTGAGGCAGGAGAATGGCGTAAACCGGGGAGGCGGAGCTTGCAGTGAGCTGAGATCCGGCCACTGCACTCCAGCCCGGGTGACACAGCAAGACTCCATCTCAAAAAAGAAAAAAGGAAAAAAAAAAAGCTGTGTCTGATAGCATCTGTGGCAGTGCTTTCTCTGATGTTGACTCTGAGTGTGCCACCTATTCTCTGCATTAGATTTCTTCCATCTGAATACTTGAGTGGTTTCTGATTGTCAGGTTAGAATCTGACTGATACACTGCTGTCTGCATGCTCTTAACCTGGGCCTTAGAATTTTCTACAGAATCCTTTCACAGCCCACAGCCCCTCTTTGTATTTTGTTAACTTTCAATAAAAGGGAACTTGGTTCAAGAACTATAGAAGTTGTTGTCTAAACCCAAGATTCTAAAGTGAATCCAGACTGGGAAAGAAAAAAATCCTCCCCTCAAGTTCCTGGCCTTAGTAAAGAGTGTGTGTGTATATATATGTGTGTGTGTGTGTGTATATATATGTATATGGCACACTGCCATGCTTTCCATTTTGTTTCAGTTGGTCTCATCCAGCAAGTTCATTTCCTTCCACAAAACAATATCTGGGATACAAGACAAGAGGTTAGCTATTTGCTAATAGTTAACACATTTTGGGGTGATTTCAATTCAGTATTTTTGATTTTTCATTCAGAAGTCATTTGAATAACTAAGAAGTTATTTATTAGACCCTGTCCTCAGAATATACCATTGAAACAAAAAACAAAAAACCCTCAGTGAGCACAAATCATGGAGTTCCAGGTTCCAGCTTCTTTTTCAGGATAGTTTTTTCCTCTAAAAGCAAAGATTGACTCAAGCATGTAACAACAGAAATACTGTGATAGCAATACTATACTAACATTTTTATTTATTCCTGTGATCTTAACACCTTCCTCCCCCACCCCAACACACACACACAAATTGTTTTAGCTACTTTTTTTTTTTTTTTGGAGGCGGATTCTTGCTCTGTCGCCCAGGCTGGAGTGCAGTGGCGCGATCTTGGCTCACTGCAACCTCCACCTACCGGGTGCAAGCGATTCTCCTGCCTCAGCCTCCTGAGTAGCTGGGATTATAGAAGCCCACAACCACGCCCGGCTAATTTTTGTATTTTTAGTAGAGATGGGGTTTCACCGTGTTGGCCAGGCTGTTCTAGAACTCCTGACCTTATGATCCACCCACCTTGGCCTCCCAAAGTGCTGGGATTACAGGCATGAGCCACCGTGCCTGGCCATTTTAGCTACTTCTATGGGAAGAGTTACATTTCGCAATTCCATTCTCATCTCTACCCGCACCTAGAATCCTGCAAATTATCTAGTTTATCTTGTCTGGAAACTGGCTGATTGACATCCAGTGGGGCTTTGAGGGGCATCTTCAAAGCCTTCCCCATCCCCAGTTCAACTCCCTCTGAAGCTGACTGCCCCTTTTCATGGCCAGTGCATTTAGGAGAAGCCTGGGATCTGCCCCTGAACACACTAGGCCTTGGCTAAGACCACTGTCCACTGTGTCTAAGCAGTCAGGCACACAGGACAGTGGACAGACACCATGGCTAGAACATCTTCACAGAACATGCCCTTGATGACCCAGTGACCTTGTGGCACTTACTGTGGAGGCCTCCACCTGGGGACCCTCGGCTCACCTCTCTTGCCTTCCCGACATTCTTTAGGCAGTCCCACAGCTGTAGTATTTTAGGTGGGCTGGGGCTGGTGCAAAGGGACCACAAGCATATACCCATTGTAAGGTTAGTTCTTCATTAATTAACCAGGGATTCAAAATCTTATCAGAAGGAAAATGGTGGATGGGGCAGAGAAAAAACAAATTCAGCACATCACTGTGAAGCTGTCCTTGGTGCTGGGAGTTCTTAAGGGGGTAGGAGCCAACCAGGTCTGGAACATTTATTTCTTGTCAGTACACAACCATTTTATTTTTTATTTATTGTAACTTTTATTTTAGGTTCAGGAGTACATGTGCAGGTTTGTTATATAGGTAAACTGTGCATCACAGGGGTTTGGTGTTGACTGTTTCATCACCCAGGTAATAAACATAGTACCCAATAGGTATTTTTTCTGATTCTCTTCCTCCTCCTGCCCTCCACCCTCAAGTAGGCC